AATATGATGCTCCTCTCCAATTCAGTTAGATTTGGATTGCGGTGAGTAGTCCTGACACTTGATATTAGCTGCATTTTCCAACCTGAAGGCGGCATTCAACTCCGTCGGTCGAGAAGTCTTATGGCACTGTCTTCACTGAAAAGGGTATCGAGTAAGTACATCATCTTATTGAAAGGTTTTTGCTCAGACACCTGTGGGCGTGTTACAGCCTATGGTGAGATAATGGGTGAGCTGTGTACTCTGAGTGGTGTCTGTCAGGGATGTCCACTGTCTCCATTCTTATTCATTTTATCGTAGAATTTCTTGTGGATGTCTTCCTGTCATCATCTGGATACACAGGGATTGACCTGATCACGGAAGCATTTTTGGTAGACCTAGAATACGCAAATGATATAGTCTTGTTGAGTGAAGAGGCCGACAAGTCTCAGAGTCTTTTGGACACTTTGAGTGGCAATTTGAGAATGTTTGGGATGCGTTTCTCGCCACTCAAATGCAGACTGTTGCTCCAGGACTGGTTTTCAACTGTACCCCGGCTAGCACTGGAGAGTGAAGTAGTTGAGTGCGCTGAACACCACTTATTTCGGGAGCCGGATCAGCGTTGGTGACTCAGTGGCCGACTAAGTCTCTGCACGAATATAAGAGGCTCGGTTGGCTTTTACCAACTTATGCCATCTGTGGCACCGCTGCGACATCCAATTGCTCATTGAGGGTCCTGTGTAATGCACAGTAGTCCGCTGGGTTCTACTGTATGGTTGTGAAGCATGGCCATTAAAGATATACGACATAAAAAGGCTTCAGGTGGTTACTTGACCACCGTTGACGTCATAGCATAGGCGGTGTTTCATCTTATCACCACCTGAATAACACAGAAGTCAGATAGAGAGTTCAAGGCAGGAGAGGTAATGCAGTTGATGTGGTTATGAACCATTGGCTGTCTTGTCTGCTATGCTTAATCTCATCATCTCATTCTACTTTCTTCCGTTTTACTTCCTTTGACCGATGTTTCTTTCCTTCTTCACTTTCCATTTTATTGTCTTGTTACTTGATGTGCTGACATGAGATAAGGTGTGGCAACTTGGACTGCTACGCAGTAATGCCCAGTCCTATGTTGATGTTGATGATGTTGACGATGAAACCGATTGGTCAGTTATGCCCTTGATACAACATGAATGCTAGTTTCATGTACTTGTCTTCGATATTCTACATTGTTTTCAGAAAAAGTTTCATCAGCAACTGTAAACAGTTCACTTCAACCTGGCTAAGTCTTGTTACCTTGCATAAATTATAAAAACTATGACACATTTTGATATGCGTAATTTCGTGAAAAAATAGTTAGTTAATCCACTTCGGTTCAGAATTATAGTAAGTTGTGTAAACCACATGAAAGCATATAAATATCTGTGTGCATATGCTAGATGCTAAATTAACATAGCTACTTCTGTTTGTTTATGAGCATTTGTTACTCTATGATATTCATAATTACAGCAGTTGAAATTGTAACGTGTGATGAAGAATCACGTATAGTTTTGAATGAGGCCAATATTCTTGTTCGTCTCTCGTACTAATCAACATGAATCTCATGAGTTAATTGGAGAAATTAGGTAGTCAACTTAATAAAAAAATATGAAAAATAAATTGTTATTGTTGCGCTATTTGTTAAGTTTTACTTCTTCCCTGTGTGTTGAATCTAACAGAGGAACTCAGATGACTCTGTCAAATATTCAGCATCAACTGAAGTAATATAAGAAGCAGTAATCCTAAAATAGGCTCCTTGAAGAAAAATAATCTAACCTATGAAGCTATAAGTAAAGAGGTAAGAATGCCTAAAGAGACCTGCAGATTTATTCAGATGAAAACTTTTCCACCCTATCACACAATGGGATGGGATAAAGCCACCCTTCTTGAGTTCAGTATGATTAGGTGGAGAGGGAAAAAGGTTGACTACTGAGGCTTTGTTCATCAAATCGACACCAACACACGTGGTAGAAATGAAACAACACATATACCGGAGATATGGAAAATTCTACTACTAATAGAAACAAAAAATGAGAGGTGACAGGAATATAAAAAGCAGATGTCGAAAGTAGTGTGATTTCATGGATATGATTATGAGCAGTTATAATTTGTGCTGGAAATGTGATCAAGTAAATAATACTGCATCACTGTGTGTTGGTTAATGCAGTTAGAAGTCACTTGACTTCGGAAGCTCTCCAGGAATTTGATGATTTCAAGGTTATTTAAAAGTAGCTATCAGTGCGAAGCGACATCAGTGATTCATCATTTTCCTCATGGTCTAGCATTATCTCTATATATCTCACTGCAGTTAATTTCATGATAAAAATAACACGCTTTGAATTTTTTTAATAAACAAGTACTTTTTTGAATCACACACTTTGCTATGACGAAGGTTTTCAGCCTAGTTTTTACTTTATTATAAGAGTATAACATCGCCACTGAAGTTGTAATGGTGGATATTCACTAGCAGTGGAATCTAAAAGGAAGAGTTCATCCTACTTAACCTCGCCTGGTTAACTAGTTCACTAGTTACTAGACGGTCCTAAGCCCGGATAACGATGGAAGGTTGGGCATAGGGCTAGCAACCCTACCCCGTAAAACAAATCTAACTGCTAAAGAAACTTCAAAGCACAAACGAAATATAAAAAATAAAAACTAAATTATTCCTCGCTGGAATCGGAGAGGCGAAATGACACCAGTTGGTGAAAGCATTCGGGAAGCCAATTGGCCGATGTGTCTTCTCTCCCTCGATGAAAGCGAAAGTAAACGTGGGGACATGGAATGTCCACACCACGTTTGAACCCAGCAAGGCAGCCTAGATTGCAAACGAGATGAGAAGGTATCACATTGGAGTGCTTGGAATTTGCGAAAGCAGATGGAATGGGAGTGGAGTCTCCAAACTTCAACTGGAGAAAAAAATCAATAATCTACTCCAACATTATCACCCACACGACAACCACGAGCACACTGAGTTTTGGAGTGGCTATCATGATTTCCCCGACAGCATCGAAGGCTCTCATTCAGTGGGAACCAATCTCCTCCTGCAAAAGGATCATGACAGGAAGATTCAACTCGAAAGGAAGGAAGGTCACAATCATACAATGCTATGCAAAAAACCTACAAATAATGCGTATGAAGAGAAGAATGAGGAATTCTACAGACAACTGCAATCAACACTGGACAAGACCACAGTTGGCGATATCAAAATTCTACTGGGCGACATGAATGCCAAACTGGGTGGGGACAACACAGGAAGACAACTAACCATGGGTCGAGAAGCTCTCGGTGAGATGAACGAGAATGGAGAATTGTTCGCAGAATTCTGTGCATTCAACGAGTTGGTGATTGGAGGCAGTGTGTTCAAGCACAAAGATATCCACAAAGCGACATGGATTTCACCAGACGGACACACTAAAAATCAAATCGACTTTATCTCAATCTCAAGAAAATGGAGACGCAGTCTACTTGACACAAGGGCAAATAGAGGAGCAGATGTAGGTTCAGACCACTATCTAGTGCAAGGAACCTAAAATCCAAATCAAGTTAAAAGCCTTCAAGGAAGCTGATGATAGACCTCAATTCAAGTACAACACTCGGAAACTGAAGGATGGAATTACAAAGGAGATCTTCACGGCAGCCATGAAGACAAAATGGGAGATATTGAGGAACATCCCTGAAGAAACCTGTGTGGAAGAACACTGGAAGTCTTTGAAAGATATGTGAAAAGAAACCTGCACAGCCGTATTAGGAAGGAAGAAGAAAGAAGACAAGGAATGGATCTCGACGGATACCTGGAAGCTGATAGAGGAGAGGAGGATGGTGAAGCAGAAGATAAACCAGTGCAAGGATGCACAACGACAAGAGGAACTGAGCACAATGTATAAAATACTGAACAAAGAAGTGAAGAAGAGTGCACGGAAAGACAAAAGACACTTCTACGAAACACTGGCAAGTGATGCAGAACAGGCTGCAGGTAAGAGAGACCTGACGACATTATATCAAATAACCAGGTTGCTATCAGGGAAGAGATCAACGCAGACGAAGCCAATAAAAGATGAAGAAGGAAATTTAATTACGAAAGAAGAGAAACAAAGCGAAGAATGGGCCGACCACTTCAAGAAGCTCTTGAATCGACCACCACCAAAAAATGCACTTCGTCCAGAAATATTTGTGACTTGTCAACTGGAACTCGGGACCCACTGCTATAAACGCCAAGGGGTTATTGGGTTACAATAGCTGCTCCTCATGAGATGCGAAATTACAAACAGCTAAATGAAGGCCATATCCATCACACCAGAAGTGGCCATCATGACTAACTGATCTAGTTAATAACAATTTGACATTTAAACTGATGGCTCCTAAGTTGTATTCTCGGTAGGGACAACATCACTCATTAGGGGGAAATGTAGGTGCATCTTTCTGAAGAGCTTCAAATACCATGAAACGCACATCCTATACTCTATGGCTACCCACTATCCGCCTTTAATACTAAAATAAACATACTGGCAATCTTGGGGGATTCACGCAGGAGGCCATATGTCAATAGTGGCCGACAATCTAGTCTAACCAATGACGGGGAATTACAAACAGTAAGATGAAAAGTGAAATACAGTTTAAGCTGCTCAGCCCATCGAATACACTAAATGATACTTTATCAAGTAAGAACTCTAGTATCACTCCTAATTTAAGATTTGATTTATAAAACCTATGCGCTCATCATTTGACAGTAGAACAGACAACATTGTACTTTAATAAAATACCTAAGTGCAAATCGAGCTTTATTCAGTACTTCTATATTTCTAGTGAGAAATATATTTAATACTGGGATTTAATAGGAAACGTTTGTTGATCCTGTTTAGCTACATTGAAAAATTCAATCAGATAAACAGATCATTCAAATTGACTGACTGATGATGACATGAATTTTTTAAAAATCATGACTTTATTACTGATAGTTATAAAAATGAATTGCTCTTTATTCTACTTCAAGCAAAATGGATTGGCTTACATTCACAATGTTCTGAACGACTGTATCCTCCAACTTGTTGCCATCCAAATCTACATACACATTTGATTCCATCCATTGCATCTACACAGTAAGAATGTTTTGGACAAATTTCTTGACAATCACTGCATTTTCGTTTCATTGTATTAGCTGAAACAGAAATGAACTTGTTGTAAGGGTGCATTTATTGATCAATATTAGTGTAGGATAAAATGAGGTTTTAATATTAGATTGCTCCGTTTCAAGTGGTGTTAGTAATAATTTCACTTCAAATAAGTTTCCCTCAGTAATCAATATAAGCTAAAGAGCCATTGAAAAGCTAAGAACACTGGATACCTGATTCATCTTAGTCCATAATTCTTCAGTGGTATGAGTGTGTGTGTGTGTGTGTGTGTGTGTGTGAAACCGAGTCCAAAATCATCAGTTTTCGTGACAGGTAAGCTACCATTCCATCATCAGATTAAAATCGACAAAAAATGTCTTTAAACTTCTATCAGTTCGTACTGCCATTCATGAGGTTTGACTAACAAGCTTCCATCCTTAGTTCTAGTTTACTTAACCTCGCATGTTTTAGTTTCTCAGTGAAAGAACGGGATATCTATTTAAACGGGAGTCAACAGTAGGCATTCGATTACTTTTCGACTGAGGTTCTCTGAGGATTGATTGGTTGAAAGATAGTCGTAATTATGGATTGATATTAGCTGTGAAACTGTTGAAAAGTTCGAAGAAGCGGGCAGCTCTTTCATCCCAGTTTAATATTTCACAAATCAAGTTGAATGTCAAGATGGAGGATCACGAACGAAACTGGACCGGTCATCAGTGAGCTGACGATGTAACCGTTTAGTCCTTAATGCATAGGATTGTTCAAAAACTTGCGATCGATTTTCTTTTTGTGACCACAAAACAAAGTGACTTGAGACTACCATGCAATATGCTATGGTGCTAAATGTGAAGATTCTATCGGTAGGAAGCTCCTCTTAAATAGATAGATGGATTATTAACTCACTTGTTACCATTTCGTGTGCACGATTCAGCCTTACAAGGGTTCACTAACAGCCTAGATAGTTTAGTATTCGAGTCTGTGGCCTCAGGATTTAATGACAAGGGTTGCAATCATGATAGAAAGCCACTTTCTTTATAACTACTGGTAAGCCTTTCTGGTAAGTGCCAATAAGCCTGAAACCTATATTCATGGCTTCCTGCTGACTGATTTTCAACATTTATCCTGAGTAATTTTTGTAGCTTCCTTGTATTTTAAATAGGCTGGCAAAGAAAATAAAAGTTAGTTGGAAATAGTGAAGAAGATCCTGCAAAATCAGTGTAGCAATGTTTCATACACTAGACAGTTTCTCTTAATCGGTACTATTCAGTAGATTTTGTTATCAAAGATTCTTTAATTACACAAAACCTTATACTGTCAGATGAATTTGATTGTTTTATTTCAAAGTTTCTCTTTATAGTTTGTTGGATCACATTTAATATGTCAGTTTTTGTTAGCATTAAGCTTCACACAATAATACACATGCTTACTGATTATGTAGAAAGAACTACGAAACAAGCCGGTTTTGTCTAACAAAAGTGAAGATAAGTAAAGCATTTCCCCTTACTAAATCATATTTGGCAAACGGAAATCATTCCATCAATTCGGAGGTTTGTGGAGATTTATAAAATTAGTTCCCGGTTGGAAGTCATCATGCACTGACATCGGTTGGAGGGATATTGGAAAATCTGGGACCACTGGACAGCTGTTTCGTTATAGTATGAGACTTCCTAGCATTGCGCACTCATGACCCCATCAGGGACGGAACCCAGGACCTTTAGATTCCGAGGCCAGCACGTTACCATCGAACTTAAAGAAGCAAGAAACATGAACCATTGGATTCCAACCAAGTGGCTGAATGGTAAAGTGCTGGCTACAGAGCCTGAAGGTCCTGGTTTCAATCCCTGGAGGAGAGTCATGGACATGCACTGCTGGAGAGTCCCAAACAGTTGTCTAGTGCTTTCAGATTTCCGATGTTCCTCCAATTGATATCAGTCTATGATGAGTTCCAACCATAAATTATTACACTTAGTGAAATTCTTATTCAATCCCACAGTTAAAAGTACCACAGGTGAATTGCTACGACTGCAATCAACTTCATTTTGAACAGTAACCAAACTTAATCAATTCAAGTTTATTTTTAAAATATCATATGGTCTCATGTTTATTCAACTTAAAGTATTTTTATTCCATATTAGATTTGTTTATTTCATTTATAACACACAGTGAGTAATCTAGTATTATTTACTTGATGACGTTTCAAGCATAAACTACTGTTCATAAACATATCAATGATTATGAGCAATAATTGATGCTCGAAACGCTAGCAAGTAAATAATACTAGATCACTCACTGTGTGTTGTAAATCAAATAAACAAATCTAATATGGAATTAAATTCTACCATAATGCCCAGGTTTTACACCTATATTAATGTATTTTTGATATTTTTATATGAACTGTTGATAAGTAACAGACTGAGATCAACTGAACATAACTTTGAGGTGAATTACCACATTCAATAGTCAGTTGTATGAATGATGCTAGATTAATTATAGTCATTTTGTTATCGAAGTGATCTCTATGTTGTTCAGTATTTTTACTTAAAAAGGGAAAAGATTACTGGCACAGCTGTGTTAATTTCTCAGCTAATCTGAATATGGATTTTTGTGTATTCTTTATTCTATTAGTAAGTGTAAATTCTTATTAGCTAAAAAAATTCTACACTTGCCTAAATAAGATATGCATTATACAGTTTAATCAGCGATCAGTTTTGATATACTAGGTTTCAGTTCCTAGGAATGTAAGTCACTGACTGATATTTGACAAAAATTACATTAGATCATGGAATTCCCCATCACTTGTGTGGTATTCTTTATTCGATCATTGTTAGGCTTTGGTAAATACTTTTGACAAAAACTAAAAATTGGATGACATTTGACTACTCGGTCGATCATAATTTGATTCTGCAGGAGATCACTAGTAGCCTGATGTTTTTAGTCATAACTTAGGAGACATGTAAACGGACTTTGGTTTTAAAAAAGGGATACTATAATTCTTTGAATATCGATATTTGTTTAAATGGAGAGTATCGAAATTAATATAGACCGGTTGTCAATTCGAATATGTGTAAAGTAATTTCATCTAATCGCTAGGAAGAATATTTTTAAGTCAGTTAACAAAAATAGTGTATAATTACACGAATAATATAATGTTTATTATTATTAGAACACAAACATGGTACAGCAAGGGCACCAAAAAACGAGCAGAACAAAATAATGTAATAACATTATGAAGGCATAAAGCGAAGGGAAGCTGATAAGTAAGAAAAAAACAATAAGAATAGCATGTTTGGTAATGATGGGAAGTGGCTAGCAGTGGTGTAATGCAAGCAATAACACTAAGAACAGCATGATTAGAAACCGAGTCCATTAGAACGCGTTCAAAACAAAACATTTTTCAGCAGCAGATTATAGAAGGAAGCTACACCACGACCATCATTGGCTTCGATCCCGAGTCATATCTGATAACGTCTCAAGCCACTGAGTTGCGTGATCTCTCGAACCGCAACAAGGGAGTGTTGGTGCATCGACATATGTTAACTTGACACAACTATCCCTCATCTCAGAGCACCACGTCATGCACTGACCACCCCGACACTTCTTCCATCCAGTTCCAGGGCTAGGATATAGTGAGCGATATGGAAGCCGTTTGAACGACATGAGTGACACATGTCGAAGCTACCGCAACCAGTGTTTCCAGATTGCTTTACTTATTGAATGATAATCTCTATCATGCCCAAACACCTCACAATTACTTCCATGGTGTTGACACCGGATACGAACATACAGAGTCGTCGTACATCCTTATCTTAGAGAGGCGAGGTTTTACAGTGTAGAGTAGAACTACTCGCACTGAATCTTTGTAAACCTGACGTTTTACGGTCAGACTAACGTCATGACGGCGCCAGAGGTGTCCTAGGTTGGCTTACGCCACTCTAGCTTTCGATATGTGGTTAAAAACTTTATCACTACCGTAACTAGCCAGATGCATAAACTTTTCGACTACTTCCAACGGCCCATCATCGCTGGTGAGCATAGGCATATACTACTGCCAATCTTGCAAAAGAACTTTACTCTTCGATGGAGTAAAACAAATATCATACTTATGGATACAAATTGACAGTTGATTAAGTGGGATTTAATAACAAAATAATCATATAATAACTTACGAACAATTCGAAAGCTGATTTCGTTTAGGTTTAAACTGACATTTTGAAAGTTACTGTTATGTATGAATGTATCCATTAGCAATGTGTCAGAAAGTTGTGTTGCTCTTATTGAATTATAGACGATATCATGCATTGCAAACACGGTATTTCTGTCTGATGGAATAAATTCTGCAACACCACAATATGGTCTTTCATAATATGGCATCTTTTCTGTCGTGAGTCTTGAAATGATCTAATTAATTCATAGTAATTTTTATGTTACATATTGTATTCGGTAAGTGAGAGAGAAAGAAAGTGGAAAACAAACATTTAGATGTATTCTGTATGAATAAGAAAGACTTTCTGTAGTGTATTATTAGATCATTATCTGTATCTTTTGAAAAATAAAATTATTTGAACTTCTACATGTCATTGATTAGGAACGTGTATCAGTAATGTTCTGAATGACTTGTAGTCATTCTCAGTTTCATTACAGTATAGTTTACTGGGACGATAGATCGTACTGTTCTATAGTATACGTAGACTGGGGATTAACCGCCGACATTCTATGCCTTTATGCATAAATTAATCTTCATAAATTACGAAGCGGATAATCTCAACTTTAAAGTAGGTATAGATTTAAGGTACTGTGAATGGAAAGGATTCCATATTGGATTTGTTCATTAATTATGGTGTGCAGTAAAACTGAATATACACTGAATAAAATTCTAAGCATAACTTATTGCCGACAGTCAAGTTCATCAAGAAACTTCTGACATTCAGTTTTTATGGTTCTATCATTTGTTATTTCTTAGTTTCTACACCTGAAGAATGAGTGTTACATCATTTTTGCTGCATCAGTTTGGTGTTGATGAGCAAATACTTCATAATTAGTATCTTTTTATCTACTGAACTAAATCAATGTTTAAGAGTTTTGGTCTGCTTTTCCCTTTTGTCGGGCTGCAGCAGTTGAAGCCTTAAGCTGCATTCCTGTGCTCCAATACTTTAGTTGACCCCGATCGGTTGGTCTGACCAATACAATTTACATCACATTTATTTGAAAGTATTCGGTACATTTGATTATTTTATTTCATTAGGTCAACAGAATGCTTAATTCGACAAGGTTTCTGTCAAAATGAGATTGTTGCTTTGAATAGTACCTTTATTTCCGTTTTGTTAAGAACTCTATCCAGAGTTAATGATCGAATCATCAAGTCACTGCTTGATACATACAATAAAAATAACACAATATTCATATCGGATTTGTATAGGAAACCATATGACCATCGACACGAAACAATGATAATATGCAATAGTATGTAAACCAGATATCCTAAGTTGTATGATATACTCGATACGGATACGTATCATAAATTTCGAGCAAAACTTTAGTCAGTAAACCACACGATTTCACCGTATGTTATAAACAATAAACTAATCAAATATGATATTGTACAATCCATTTTAAAATTTTGGTTTCAGAAGGATTCATAGAAGTGCATCTTTTCTTGTTTTTTTCATTCGAATACTGGTTATAGTTGTTTTTCTGTTTACTTAGATAGACTAGGTTACACTTAGTGCACTTTTAAGTTGTTTACCAGATAACTGTACTACTAAAGTTTTATTGAAAGTGAAAACTAATAACTTTTCGTATAGACATGTTAGTTAGCAATAAAGGTTTCTCTTAAGTTTTCCAGTACTGTAATTTGCTAAGGATTTCCTTTCATTGGATTTTATAACTTACTGTCTAAATTTTAGATAAATATGAGGTCATTTTTTTATTCACAACTGATATCAATTTGAAAAGACAATCAGATATCAACACATACTGGGTTAAACTTTGTTTGTTAGTCTAATTTTTTAGATGACATTGGTTTATTTCTATCTTATGGCCATATTACGTATTCAGATTTTATTTCAAATCCTTTTTAGGATGGATCAATAGAGTCGATAGATGGTATGGAAACAAAGTCTTTTTGCTTTCTGTCAAAATAGAGTGAACGTTTTTTTGGAAAAACCCTCCTAACCCCGTCATTTAGAAACTCATATACATGTTATTAATGACTACAGCTGAAGATGTGACACATGAGTTGCACAGGTTGAAGCAAATTTACCTAAGAAAACGAAATTCATATATAATGAGTACGAAAAAGGCATTAATAACTGATTTCTGGTAGTTATTTAATTGGATCAAATTTCCAAAAATATGGAAACTGATTATTAGGTTTAGGTTTTTCATTTTAAGTCAAGCTGTCAAAAAGTGATTGAGGAGAAGAATATTCTAAGGTTTTAAGAAACAAACATTTGTTTACTCCTGGCATGCATACAAACATTGTACTGAATTAGACTACTCATTAACTTATCGTGACATAGTGTAAGAACAGGAACAAATAGAGATCAAATGTGTGCTAGTCAATCCTTCTTTCAATTATAGTGGTCGATACTTAGAATGAAAACTACGGAAAAGGCACCGAGGCTGATGTTGACTACTAGACGTCAAGAAATATTCGCAATGTGAAGAAATACTGTCTAGTGGGATAAAACCTAAGGAAGTCAAATGCATGATTGGTAGGAAGTGAACTAAGTGGCAGTCAAAATTTTAAGTCATCAGTCATTAAAATAGAACCTTACTGGACAGTTCTATCCCACAGCTGACCAGTTGAAATAAGCTATTTAACTTTTGACTCAGTAGTCTGATATGGTCATGGAAACCAAATAAAAATGATGTATGTTTGTCGAATAAAAGATTTTTCACAATCGCCGGTCAGTCCTTATCAACTGGTATTTTTGTATCTCTTTGTAGTATGAAGTACCAAGGGAGAAAATTTGCTATTCATATCCAGTCAATGTCTTATTGCATTAGCATCATTTGCGCATTACTTATTATTCACTCGGTCATTTCCGTGATTTACTATTATGTTAGATTTCAAAAATGAGTTCTATCGGAACCAACTGAGTGAATTTAAAGGCCATCCTTGGAACAGCTGAAATAATCAATGAGGTTTCTGCATTTCGGCTGGAAGGGCAGGTTTTCAAAAAATACAGCAGTCAGTTTGGTTATTTGAGTTGTTGCTAGGGTGGTCATTAAAGTCACTTGAAGCAACTACTATCTTTCAAGTATTTTTAAGAAATAATAGATATTAAACTCATGTGAATAAGGACAGTCTGCTTTTACTAACCATCACATTTGCATTGAAATATTTGTCAAATGGAAATCCAATTGACTGTGAAAGATTTTAACTCTGAGATGAAGTAAAGTGCATTTACGAGTAAGAAACAACTGTTACGCAATTCGAACTCACGATATTTTATAAACCTGTTGCTTATGCTGGGCACGAGATGGATTACACTCTCCTTATTGCAGAAAGGAGGGATAATTACTTGCTCGAAGCAAATTGATAACCTTTAAAAACCAAATGAAAGATTTATTATTATTTCCCTTCGGTTCCCAGTGAAATATAAGGCTTCAGTAGCACGCCACCACTTCACTCTCTTCTCTGCAGTCTTTTCAACCTGGCTCCACCACTGCTCACAAGCTTTCATTTCATCCTCACACCATCTACTCCATGTCAACCTCGCCCCAGACGCCTAACTCGTCGTTTCCACTTTGGGTTCTACTCGATAGTCTGGCCTGACGCGTGATGTCCCCGAACGGTCTTCTCAGTGCATGCCCAGTCCAATCCATCTCCACTTTCTTCTGCACATTTGTTGGCCAATGGGTTGTTGGTTGGTTCGTTGCCAGCCAGAATGAGTTCCTTGTTGTTCGTTCTTCCTGGCCATCTGATCTTCAGTATCGAGTGAGTGTAGGCGGCAGCTGTTGATGTATCTCTTAGTTTGTTGGAAATGCTTTTCTTAACGCGCCAAGTCTCTCAGCCATCATATAGAAGTACTGACTTCACATTGATGTTGAAAATCCGGATCTCGTTCACGCTTTATGCTGAGTGCAGTGCAGTAGATCTTCAAACTGGTTTCAGGTTAATGAAGGCTTGTCTTGCTTTTCTGATCCTAGGTTAGACGTCTTCATCTGTGCCTGTGCCCCTGCCTGTAGTTGAAACGATGCTGCCTTGACTAGGTAGGTGAAAGGGACAACTTCCTTTAGATTTCTCTAGTTCATCGTGACTGGTGCTTGTTGTTGATGTTTTTGGTTGGGTAACCTCATCAGCTCTGTCTTCTCTACGTTCACTCGAAGTCCCGTTTCCGCTGCTTCGCCTCTTCTGTCAACTTGTTGGTTTTTGCCTGTAGATCTTCGAGTTTGTGCCTCAAGACATTAGACACATATTATCCGGAACCGTAGCTAGTATTTATTTAGTTAACCATCAAATGTTTGACGTACCGTTGGTAGGATGAGGCATCGAAATGCCAGCACGAATAGCATTTGAGGTATTTTTTCCATGAATGTCAATATTAACTTGTCCCTATGATATTTTTATATTTATTTATTAAATAATTCCCTATGAGAGGTTGTGGGACAGTACTAATCCATAATGTTTGCACTTTTCTTTGGCCTTTGGGTACCTAGATTATATCCGGATTACTAAAGAGGTGAAAGGATAGAACATTTTTTTTCGGTCTCCTTTCAATACACCGGACTGCAATTCCAGACAACTGGTTAATCAAAAGTGGAACGAGATAATATAGTAAATCTGTCTCTAAGCATGGTATTGGCATTTGAGATGGATTAAGCGTGGCATTTATAGCTTTTTGTCGTCAGTACAGGAATTTATAATATCAAAGAATACAGGGAATGGTACCTACAAAATTACAACTCCTTTGAGCAAAATATTCAAATCTTTTGTCCCGTGGAATCATATTAAAGTCTGCCAAACTTATGGGTTTCAACTGGTCGTTCAGCAATTCGGTAATCAAGCCAAAATGTGTGAGCACTAAGAAAAGAAAAAAAGAAAACCAATCACATTCTGTAACAAAACATCGGTATAGTACAGTTTGATTAAGTTGGTAATAATATCAAGAAACTGGTGGTAGATGTATTTCACAACAAAAAAGTGCTCTTTATAACTAACTAGATGGAAAGATAGATGAGTAGCTAGTTATTCTGCAATTTAGAGAACTTCAATGGGAAATAACTTTTAAAGTGTTACTACATGCCTTATGCCAACATGGATCAGATAAGTTCTACACGATTATACCATTTACTATTAGTTAAGTTGGCCATAGAAAGAGGAATATCATAAAACTGTTCGATTGGTTAACTGTTGATGTATTCATCAGGTAGTAATGAATTGAATTCAAGTGGAATTATACGGTCAACGTGAAGACTTTCTCAATTGGATACAGTTGGACTGGAAAAAGAATACCTGTCATTATTATATTACCACATGGCTTAATATATTTCACTTTATCTGTTTGAATAGGGAAGGAACATGGACTGAAGCAGACTAATATGGTACCATTTTATTTCACCAGTCCCTCATCAGCTACTCAGTACTGAAAACATGTAGACAGTATATCACATAAAGAATCGGCCGTTAAGTGAAGTTAGTTAACATGGAATAACATCATTTAATAAAGAATACGAACATCAAGTCAACAAGATATGCTAAGGATTCTCAAATGTATATGTGATTCAAAACCTCGTCTGGTTAACCAGTCCACTAGTTACTAGCCGGTACTAAGCCCGGATAACGATGGAAGGTTCGGCGTAGGGCTAGCAACCCTACCCCGTAAAACAAATCCAACCGCTACAGAAACTTCAGAGCACGAACAAAATGTAAAAAACAAAGGCAAACTTATTCCTCGCTGGAATAGGAGGGACGAAATGATGCCAGTTGGTGAAAGTCTTCGAGAAGCCAATTGACCGATGTGTCTTCTCTCTCTCCATGAAAGCAATAGTAAACGAAGGGACATGGAATGTCCGCACCATGTTTGAACCCACCAAGGCTAACCAGATTGCAAAAGAGATGAGAAGATATCACATAGAAGTGCTAGGAATCTGTGATGAATCTGTAGATGGAATGCATCTGGACTCTCCATACTGTCAACTACAGAGTCAATAATCTACTCCAACATTATCACCCAGATGACAACCACGAGCACACTGAGTTATGGAGTGGCTATCATGATTTCCCCGACAGCATCGAAGGCTCTCATTCAGTGGGAACCGATCTCCTTTAGGATCATGACAGCAAGGTTCAACTCAAAAAGAAGGAAGGAAGGAAGGTCACAATCGTGCAAAGCTACACTAAACACCGACAAATAATGCGTATGAAGAGAAGAATGAGGAATTCTACAGACAGCTGCAATCAGTAATACACAAGACCTCACCCGTGATGGGAACATCGAAATTCTGATTGGTGACATGAATGCCGAACTGGGAGCAGACGACACAGGAAGAGAAGCAATGATGGGTCGAGAAGCACTAAATGAAATGAAGGAGAATGGAGAACTGTTTGCAGACTTCTATGCATTCAACAATTTGATGATTGGAGGTAGTGTGCTCAAACACAAGGATATTCATTAAGCGACATAGGTTTGATTTCACCAGATACCAGACACACTGAAATTCAGATGGACTTCATGTCAATGTGAAGAAAGTGGAGATGGAGACGCAGCCTACTGGATACAAGATCAGATGAAGAAGCAGAGCAGATGTAGGCTCACACCACTCACTATCTAGTGCAAGTAACCCACCTTCAAAATCAAGTCGGAAGCCTTCACAGAAGTTGGTGATAGACCACAGTTCAACACCCAGAACAGAAACTGAACTGAAGGATGAAACTACAAATAACATCTTCACGTCAGCCATGAGGACGAAATAAGAGACATTGAGCGACATCCCTGAAGGAACCTGGGTGGGACAACACTGGAACTTTTCGAAAGAGATGGGAAGGAAGCCTGCATAACCGCATTAGGAAGGAAAAGGAAACAAGACAAGGAATGGATCTCGACGTACACATGGAAGCTCATACCGGTGATGAAGCTGCTGATGGTGAAGTAAAAGATAAACCAGTACAAGGATGAACAATGAAAAGCGGAACTGAACACGAACTATAAAACACTACGCTGGTAAAAGAAGTGAAGGACAGTGTGCGGAAAGACAGAAGACACTTCTACGACATACTGGCAAGTGAAGCGGTACAAGCTGCTGGTAGGAGAGACCTGACAACGCTGTATCAAATAATCAGGTTACTGTCTATCTGAGAAGAGGAAAACGCAAATGAGATCAGTGAAAGATAGTGAAGGAAACTTAGATAGAAAAGAGAAGGAACAAAGGAAACGATGGGCTGACCACTTTAGAAAGCTCTTGAATCGACTACCACCTGTAACTCCTTTAGAAATACCACCGGCAACCATAGAATCACCAGTGAAAACAAGCCTCTGACAAAAGCCGAAGTCCTGGACGCCATAAAGCTACTGAAATTCGGGAAAGCAGCAGGACCAGATGGAATTCCTCCAGGAGCACAGAAAACAGAAGCAGAGACAACAGTGGACAAGCTCACACCACTACTGCAGGAGGTTTGGAAGGGAGGAAGGAAAGGTACCTGCGTATCGATTGGAAGAAGGGATACCTTGTGAAACTTCCAAAGAAGGGCGACCTAAGTCTTTGCAAGAACTGGCGCAGAATCATGCTCCTATCCACCCTAAGCAAGATATTATGCCGCATCGTCCTGGAGAGACTAAAAATGTGCTGGATTCAAAATTATGACAGAAACAGGCTGTGAGGATCAATTTGCAACACTGCACTAAGCATCATCATAGAACAGAGCATAGAATGGCTGTAAAATCTCTACATCAACTTTATCGATCTTGAAAAAGCCTTCGACAGCGCTGACCGAGAAGTAATTTGGCAGTTGCTTCAATACTACCATTTAAGTGCCACAAATCTTTATCAAACCCATTCAACAACTATATGGAGACGCCACATGACAAATAATTCACAACGGAAGCTCAGTGATGCCTTTGAAGTGAAGACAAGAGTAAGAAAAGGTTGCTGCCTACTGTCATCACCGATGATCTTTCTGATTGTGGTCGACTGGATCATGCAAGAAACTGTGAAGAGCGAGAAGATGGGCAAACGCTAGACCTGCGAAAAGACCTTAGAAGATTTTGATTTCGCCGATGATGGTTTATGTCTAATGTCTTGAGGCACAAACTCGAAGATCTACAGGCAAAAACCAACAAGTTGACAGAAGAGGCGAAGCAGCGGAAACGGGACTTCGAGTGAACGTAGAGAAGACAGAGCTGATGAGGTTACCCAACCAAAAACATCAACAACAAGCACCAGTCACGATGAACTAGAGAAATCTAAAGGAAGTTGTCCCTTTCACCTACCTAGTCAAGGCAGCATCGTTTCAACTACAGGCAGGGGCACAGGCACAGATGAAGACGTCTAACCTAGGATCAGAAAAGCAAGACAAGCCTTCATTAACCTGAAACCAGTTTGAAGATCTACTGCACTGCACTCAGCATAAAGCGTGAACGAGATCCGGATTTTCAACATCAATGTGAAGTCAGTACTTCTATATGATGGCTGAGAGACTTGGCGCGTTAAGAAAAGCATTTCCAACAAACTAAGAGATACATCAACAGCTGCCGCCTACACTCACTCGATACTGAAGATCAGATGGCCAGGAAGAACGAACAACAAGGAACTCATTCTGGCTGGCAACGAACCAACCAACAACCCATTGGCCAACAAATGTGCAGAAGAAAGTGGAGATGGATTGGACTGGGCATGCACTGAGAAGACCGTTCGGGGACATCACGCGTCAGGCCAGACTATCGAGTAGAACCCAAAGTGGAAACGACGAGTTAGGCGTCTGGGGCGAGGTTGACATGGAGTAGATGGTGTGAGGATGAAATGAAAGCTTGTGAGCAGTGGTGGAGCCAGGTTGAAAAGACTGCAGAGAAGAGAGTGAAGTGGTGGCGTGCTACTGAAGCCTTATGTTCCACTGGGAACCCTGAGGGCATAGTTTATGATAATAAATATATGTTTTAATAGGGAGTTCACGAAAATAATATGATTTGTGATAAAGTATTGAGTGAAAAGATTTTTGATTAGGTTCGCTAATGATAGGTAACTGATTTATTAAGTAGCAACATAATTAGTTGCTCTCATTTGGTGAAATGGCATCAAACTTTGTAAAATTGGCGCTGCTTCTTTTCTTACACACAGATTTGGTCTCATTCTTTTAGTAGCTAAAGCTTCATTGAATTTACGAATTTTCGAATTGCATTGTGCAGTGATTACCTTGAAAGTTTCTTAGTTATCTATGGCGAAATAAATTGTCATCGTTTTATTCTTCTCTGGCTGTTGTTGCTCTTTCTCTCTCTCTCTCTCAACTTTGAGATATCTGTATACCTGGGATGAACTTCATTGAGATTTCACAAATATATTTCCTTCTTAAATAATTTACTTTTTGTGCTCAACTTATTCGGTGGTATCAGGTCGAATTTCTATCCCGAAGTTTACAGGAACTGATCAGTATTATTTTGACTAAAGAACATTAATTACAATAAAACTGCTGATGAAAACATAAAGTTCTAATCCAATAAGTAATTTACTATCTGAAATTTATGCATAACTATTGTATAATGGTGATAACTGAAATTTAGTGTATCTTGAGTTATAAGAGAATTCTCATTCAAGGCTTAGGAGCCGTGAAAATCTAAGTTTGAAGAACCATCCAATAAAACAAGTTCGCTTTGCTCTTTTTCACTAAATGTTCCTTCCAATAATCAAAGAATTAAGAATTCAAATTCACCAAGAAATTAGTTTGATCGTTGTCAGCATGTTTGCGTACTGTATGTCATCTACAATTTTATGCAAAACTCAGATAACATACTGTCTA